CATGCCAATGAAGGAGGGGACGGTGGCGGCGGCGATGGCGTGTAGCGGCCGAGGTAAGGATCACTGACGTAGGCGCCAAATATGGTGGCGAGACTGCTCGAGCTAGAGAAGATGTTGAGGAGGGTGGTAGCGTTGACACTCGACATGTGGTACACCGTCCTCAGGTACACCAACATGTTCTATATATAGTGTTTCGATCGTCCCTAGCTTTTACAATGTCTCAGTTCCTTGTGACAAACAAACGCATATTCGTTTAGTTTTACTAGTTCAAAATTAAATCAAAAGATAGGGATTCATCTTTTGTGAAATTCGGTTGCCACTTGCCAAGCTGTTTCTAGAGAACATCTCATTAAATTTTCTCATAGTAGCGCCTGTAGCTCAGTGGATAGAGCGTCCGTTTCCTAAGCGGAAGGCCGTAGGTTCGACCCCTACCTGGCGCGCTAACTTTTTTTTTGTTACTGGTGATTTCTTGGCTTAGTGTGTTATACGAGTGTTTAGCATCTACCTTTGGATTCCAACAAAGCTAACCTACCTGGCGCGTTTTTGAATTTTGTTTTTCCTTTGGATTCCAACAAAGCTAACCTACCTGGCGCGTTTTTGAATTTCGTTTTTCCTTTGGATTCCAACAAAGCTAACCTACCTGGTGCGTTTTTGAATTTTGTTTTTCCTTTGAATTCCAACAAAGCTAGGCATGGGGCTTGGGTCTATAATCTGATGCAGTATTGCCTCCGACGAAGACGACTCAGCCTCTTTATCGGACACTTATCTTCATCTTCCCCTCGTGCTCAGGTATAGGAACGTTTCTTTTTCTAACTCTCGATCGTTCTCGACAGCTGCTAGCTGCATGTACATACAGTACAGAGACAGAAAGATAGCAACTGGATCGTCATGATCTATCATTTAATAGTTTTGTATCCAGATCACCCATCCAGCGAGGCTTTTCTAGTTGTTACCCCTTTTGTTTTGCGAAATAGTTGTTACCCCATTTAATGGAAAGTTTGTCAGTTTTATCCTATATAACGATTTATCATGTGATTCTTATGACATGTACTCCCTCCGTTCCAAATTACTTGTCGCAGGTATAAATATATCTAGATGTACAATGGTTGATAAGATAGTCTTATTTTAAGTCTTGCATGTAATTTAGAGATGACAAAGAAAAATATCTACAATGAGTTATCTCTTAGTCTTATCATCCATAACTAGCTATTCCCAAAAACGTGATGAGATATATTATGGTAAGAGATCATCTCTTATCTTCTCTTAAGAGAAGACAAGTCTTTTCTTATGAGTTCTCTTTCACCCACTTTATTATTTATCCTACATGACACTCCTAAGATACCATCATTGTACATGCCCTTAGTTGTCAGATACATACAGCATGCCACGTCATAACTTTTCTTATGTTGTTATTTTCTGCCCCCGAACAGGTAAAATGTTTTATAGCTAAACACAATTTCTTTTCTAGTGATCATCGGGAGTACATACGCACCGCTTCAACTTGATGAGCTTTTTCTCATCAGGCAACTCTTTGTTTATTGGTTCCATCTCATTCTTCATCATATTTGCTGTGAGATGTTGCATCGACAACTTTTTCTAGCAAATTATTGGCGGAGGGTGCTATAGTAGAGATTCTTTGCTTCTCTAGTAAAAATGAGGACGATGTCTCTACACATACACTGCATATGGTTGAAACAAAACCAACCATGCCTAATGTTTTTGCAAAGGTACAATAATAATAATAATAATAATAATAATAATAATAATAATAATAATAATAATAATAATAATAATAATAATAATAATAAACAATGGAGTCTAGGCCACGAGCACGACAAGCGTCCAAACTCACAAGCCACACGGAAATTCAAGCAAACGCACACGCTTAATTAGGTGCAATGCTCTCTCTCTCTCTCTCTATGTTAATCAAGCATTTGAAAATTGTTAAATGTGTATAGAAAAAATCTTTCTCATGTATATGAAAAATGTATACAAAAAATATACAATGTGTATGAAAAAAACTTGATCATCTATTCAAAAAATGTCGCAGCTTGTGAAAAATGTTAATCAAGCATTCGAAAAATGTTTCTAATGTATACGAATAATGGATACACAAAATATACAATGTGTATGAGAAAAGTTGATCATATATTTGAAAAATATATTAATCAAGCATTCAAAAAATGATAAATGTGTATAGAAAAAATGTTTCTAATGAATATGAATAATATATACAAACAATATACAATGCGTATGAGAAAATGTTGATTATGTATTTGAATAATGTTAATCAAGTATTTGAATTTTTTTATTCAAGTATTTGAAAAATATTAATCAGGAATTTGAAAAATGTTAAGTGTGTATAGTAAAAAATGTTTTCCATCTATATGAATAATGTATACAGAAAATATACAATGTGTATGAAAGAAATGTTGATCTTGTATTTAAAAGATGTTAAGCGTGCATAAAAAACTATTCCTAATGTTTACGGAAAAATGCACAACATACATTAAATAAGAGTAGATATAAAAACATATATATTTAAAAGAATTTAATTCTGTATTTAAAAAATGTTCACCATATATTTTTAAACTGCTGACCATGTATTCAAAAAATTGTTCAAAACATGTTTTTTAAGGAAAAATGTACATCATGTATTAAAAAAATGTTGAACGTGTGTCAACAATAATGTTTCACGTGTACACTAAAAATATATGTTTTGTAAAATTGAGAAAGAAACAAAGAAAACCAGTGAGAAAAAAAGAAGAAAATGGAAACCCCTAAAAAACCGGTGAAGAAATGAGAAAATCATAAGAAAGAAAACAACAGAAAAAAAAACCCCGATATAATCAGACAGTCCTGCGACGAAAACCACCACGAGGGGAGGTCCTACTCGGCACCTTAAGCACCTCCGAAGCGAACTAGCACTCACAGGAGAACTAGTGGGCCGGCCCGTAGCGCACAGAAATACTGTAGCGCAAAAACCACCAAAAAAAGGAGTACTACGCGGGGAGTCCAACTCAAGCCACACCTCTCGCGCAAGATCCTGCATAACACCGGACCATTCGCCTACTTCCGATTAATTGCAGCGCGCTACGCTTAACAACTATCCTAGCGGCCCTATGTGAAAGAGAACAAGTTCACTAGTATGGGATTATTTTTTACCAATTGACCGGGCAGGCCAGTTAACCGTTGACTGTTCACAAAATATGTGTAAGTTTTTTGAAAAAATAGGAATTAAAAAACCATTCACAAAAGAAAGATCACTGGTTAAAAAAAGGTTCACGAATTTAAAAGAAAAAACTCACAAAATGGAAAAAGGTGCATTGTTCTTCAATTAAAGTTCATCAATTTTGAAAAAAGTTCATTCAATTTGGAAAAAAGTTCATTGATTTTGAAAAACAGTTCATCAAATCTGAAAGAAAGTTCATCGAATTTGAAATAAATTCATCATAATTCTAAAAAATCGTCGAATTTGAAAAAAAGTTCATCGGATGTCGAAAAAGTTCAGCAGATTTGAAAAAAAGTTTACCAAATTAGAAAAAAGTTTATCAAAATTTTAAAAGCTTCATCGAATTTTTAAAAAGTACATCAAAATTTAAAAAGGAAAGGACAAAAGAAAAAGGAAAAGGACAAAAGAAAGTAGAAAAAGAAAGAAGAAAAAGAAAAAAAGGAAAAATAAAGAATAAAAGAAGGGAAACGTTGCTTCTTACCATATCCGGCTTGGTGGTGGTTTGGTAGACGTAGCGTGGTAACACGAGGGAGGTCTCTAGTTTTATTCACCGGAAGCGCATTGTTTTTGCGATTTAACAAATGAGAAGAAAAATTAAACGGGCCGGCCCAGATGGCGGGAGGTGGTGTGCGCTGCAAGCACCCGTTAACAAAATGCACGTTAACGACCCTAAAAAAAAACAAAATGCACGTTAACCGGCGCCTGCAGCGCAGAATAGGATTTGCCCAGAATTAACGCAGCAAGCAAGCGAGTTTCGATGGAGATGAGGTGGCTCTGACCTTAGCCGTGCGTGCCGCTAGATGAGCTGCTCTCATCGAATTTGAAAAAAAATACATCAATTTTGAAAAAAGTAGAACTATTTTGAAAAATGTTCATCGATTTTGAAAAAAAGGTTCATTAATTTTAATTAAAATCCGTCAACTTTTAAAGGATTTCTTCAACATTTATTTTTTTATCAATTTTGAAAAAAGGTTATTGATTTTGCAAAGAAAATCACGAATTTGAAAATTTTCATCCATTTTCTAAAAATTTCATATATTTTGAAAAAAAAGTTCACGAAACACATTTATTAAAGGAAAAAGAAAACAAAAAATAAAAGTAAGAAGATAACTATAAAATCTGAACAAAACAATTCCAAGAAAAGAGAAAAAAGAACAAGAAAAAGGAAAAAAAAGGGGGGGAAATGAGAGAAAAGAAGGAAGAAGAAAGACCAAAGAAGAAAGAAGAAAAAGGAAAAAAAGAAGAAGAAAAGAACGAAGATGTAAATAAACACATCAAATGAGGGTGGCCGGTTGGTTACTGTGCCATACAATGAACAACTAGATCGTGGGTTTGCCAAATATACAATAACAGGCGCCTGAAGCGGCAAATAGGAAATGCCACGATATATAGCTCTCGCGTCTCTCTCTGTCCATCACCATGTGACGAAAATGATACCCAAATGGGCCAGCCATCACACAAAGCATGGTATCAATGATGGGTCACGTCCGCTTACCCAAAGGCCCATGGGCCGTATAGAGTTTCGATGGAGGTGAGGTGGCTGTGACGCTAGCCGTGCGTGCGCTAGCGGTGCTGCTCTAGAGGTTGGTTGTTGACGCTACCGAACAAAAAGGTCATCAATTGCCAAACAAAAAGGTCATCCAACTACACTACTAGAGCTCCAGCACTGTGCGTACTACCGCAAGCCATCATTGCACGGCTGGCCCCTGCTTCTTCTTCATCTACGTAGAGGCGGCCGGGCGCTGCGAGGTGCTCCCACGTAGCAGCCATGGCGGCGGCGAAGCCCGGTAGTAGTAGCGACATCGACACGGCGGAGCTGGACCGGGTGCTACACGCGGTGGGCTTCCAGATCGAGACGGTCTCCCCCGCGCTGCTCGCCGGGAGGCTCCCCGTCACGGAGCGCTGCTGCCAGCCGTTCAAGGTGCTGCACGGCGGCGTGTCGGCGCTGGTGTCTGAGGCGCTGGCCAGCATGGGCGCGCACATGGCGTCGGGCTACCGCCGCGTCGCGGGCGTGCACCTCAGCATCAACCACTTCCGTAGCGCCGCCCTCGGCGACGTCGTGCTCGCCCGCGCCGTCCCCGTCCACCTCGGCCGCTCCACGCAGGTCTGTCTGCAGTCTGCACTGGACTCCGAACCTAATCGTCTAGCTATTCTCCCTCTGGCTCGGACATGCATGGGATAATTCAGAATCAATTCAGGTGTGGGAGGTGAAGCTGTGGAAGATGGACCCGTCGGCGGAGATGAAGAAGGGGCCGCAGATCGCCGAGGCCAAGGTGACGCTGCTCTGCAACCTGCCCGTGCCGGACAACCTCCACCACGCCGGCGACGCCCTCAAGAAGTACGCCGCCGATGGCGCTGCACCTGCACCAACCACCACCGCCACCAGCAAACTGTAAAACTAATTATGTGTACGATATGTCTACTAGTTAAACCAGATTCTAGCAGTTAGTGCGTGTTGTGTACTTGTGTTGATCCGTTCGTCGGTCGATCACAAAAAACAATGTTCTGTTCTTGAGTCGGTTCAGTTAGTTTGTCCATCCATTTACACGCACTGATGTTCTTTTGATTGATTGATCAATCAGTTGGATCAGTTGGGGGCTCTACAAGTCAGCACGATCAAAAGCGTGCCCAAGAAAAATCGATGATAATTAAATACAAGTGCAAGTTAGTAGACCAAACAAACACATCATGTGCTCTCACTGTCTGTGCCTGCATTTGCTCACTCTTAGCTTACTTCATAGTAACATTAACTTCAAGATATATTTTTTCTCTATTTTTTTACTGGAATTCAAAATATAGTGGCTATACTGCTCATGAGTAAGTGATCTAATCCTATAATGCAGGTCATACTACTCGTGAGTAAGCAATCAAATACCGGTTCAACTACTCGTGAGTAAAGAGTTAACCACAAGCAAGTATCCCGAGCGACTTTCATGGCGGAATGGACAAGCTAACCAAACAAGAACGTCATATATATGGCTTTACTAAAGGCATTTTCCTTGTGCTCTAATCATATATCTTGTCGACACTAGTGGTGGGTCCAGGACCGAGGCCGGGGGGGTCTGGGCCCTGGGCGTGCAGAATAAATACTGCCTTTACTATAGCATCTTGGGCACTGTAGCCGGCCTAGGGCCCGGGGTTTGGCCCAATCCCCGGTCTGCCCCTGGGCACCACTATGGTGACAAACTACCCATGTGGCATAGTACTCATGAGTAAGCGATCGGATCATAAGGCTGGTCACAGTGGGGAGGAACTTCGGAGTAACATCACACACTCCAATACGACTTTGCTTATGTGGCACGTATTTAATGAAGAGAGAGGTGTTTGTGGTAACTAGCTAAGTTACCGGAACATCACACACTCCAAGAAACAATGAGTCTATAACCTAATAAATACATCGTTGCATGACACTACATAGATGTTTCTACCTACTATGGAAGTAGTAACATAGTCTAGGGAAATGTGAAGTTACTAGCTTATGTTCTTGCCCATTGTGACCAGCCTAACAAAGATGGTAAGCAATCGAATCCAAAAATACCGGTGAAACTGCTCCTGCGTAAAGAGTTAACCACACACGGGTAACTTGGCGTGACTATCAATGTAAAATGGACACGCAAAGCAAACAAGAATGTCATATATCTTGTCATGATTATCGAGTCAGAGCCCACGTTGTGAGTAATTGATCACATCTGAACATACTTACTACTCGTGGTAAAGAGTTAACCACAAACGAGTATATATATCAATGCGACTACGGAGGCAAAGTGGACAAGCTACCCAAATAAAATTGCCATGTATGGCCTTATAATATAAAAAACACATTTGCATGTTTTTATACACGATTGATTTTTAGCCATGATCCGCGACTTTGTGTGTTTTGAGAAAAGGGCGGAAAGGAAAAGCATGCGGTACTATCGAACTTGATGGTGTTCTATGTACAAATAGCAAAGTTCTTGCATAATATTTGCAAAGGATTTTATTACCTGTTGTTTTACATTTAATGAGTTTTTTTTACCAACTCAGTACATTAAGCTATGTCCACTTTAGATCATTGGGCTGTGTGGGCTTACAGAGGTATGCAGTTTTTTTTATCACATGCCTACGGCGAGAGCCCCACATTACTGGACGCCTCTATGTCTCGCTTCACATGAGATAGAGGGAAGCCTCGCCTGAAAGGAGGCACGAGATGGGCCGGCGCAAGCGCACTGGAGGACAGAGCCTCGTTTTTTTTCACGTTTTTTGTTTTTGTTTTTTTGCTTTGTATTTTAGTTTTGTCTATAGTTACAAATATTCTAAATAAATATATTACAAAAAAACTTTACGTAAAACATTTGAAAAATGTTAACCAAGCATTTGAAAAATATTATTTGTGTATACAAAATGTATAAAAAAACTTGATTATGTATTTAAGAAATGTTAATCAAGCAGATGAAAAAAAATGTTAAATAAGTATTTGAAAAATCTGAAATGTTTATATAAAAATGCTGACCATGTACTAAAAAATGCTTAGAAATTATTTAAAAATGTGAATAAGGCATTTAAAAGAAGTTAAATGTGTATAGAAAAAAATGTTGAACATTTATTATTTAATCATGTACTTGAAAATGTTAATCAAGCTTTTGAAAACGTTAAATGCATATAGAAAAAATAGTGACCATGGGTTCCGAAAATCTTAATATTATTTTTATAATCAATCATAAGAAAAATGTTAAAAATTTGTACAGAAACAATGTTGACAGTGTATTAACTAACATGTTAAATGCGTATTAGATATATACCAAAAAAATAAAATGTGTATGGATAAAATTAGACATAAAAATATAAGTATTAAAAAAATGCTAACCATGTATTTTAAAATTTTAATCTTGTATAATAAATATATTTTTGATGTATACAAAAAATGTTGAATGTGTACCAAAAAATTTCACAAGTGTTGAAGAAAAAAAAACCAACAAAAATCGATAAAGAAACTTAGAAAAACAAAGAAATCCAATAACACCCTAAAGGAGAAACAAAGGAACCAAAAAAACAGAACGGAAGAAAAGAATGCAAAATAAGGGGAATAGAACGCCGTGAAAGAAACATGATGAAAACCGATGAAAATCAAGAAAGAAAAGGTCATCAATTGCCAAACAAAAGGACATATATGGATGGATGGATGGATGGATGGATAGGATAGGTTCATAACCTTCATCCAACTACACTACTATAGCTTCAGCACTGTGCGTACTACTGCAAGCAATCATTAAAAGGCTGACCCTGCTTCTTCTTCATCTACTTAGTGTCTGTTACACCTGACCTAACTAGGAAAATATTTACCAGTCAGATGTATGCAAACCCAGCACACGAGAGCCATGCATGAGCTGGCCTGAGTCTAATCTTAAAAAAAGACCATTGCTGAGCATGAATTTAGTTGATCGCATTGAATTATAAGGACAAATACAGAATTATAGATATATAGCATTATGGAAACATCACCTTGGTACGGGCACAAACTCGCCCGCAGCTTTGCCACGGGCTCCTCCTCCTCCTCCTCCTCCTTGATGTTGTTCAAAGGGAAACCACTCCCACTCCCTTGCGGGGTCGCCGAGGGCTGGACCTCAACGCTAGCGGTGCTACCAAGGAAGGTGCTCCTAGAAATGATGACACCATTCAGAGGGAAGCCACTACCCTGCGGCTGGGCGGTCGCCGAGGGCTACACGTCAGCATCATTCCCCGCCTCCGCATCTGCCATAGTTGGCGCCACCTCCTGGATGCATGCAACCGGCGAGGACCTTGCGAGGCCCTCGCCATTCCTCCTCTCCTCCCCGAACCGCCCACCGAGTGACAGCCTGAGGCTAAGGTCCACCACCCCCGGCCCATGTATCCATGTGATGGGCCTTGTGCTCGCCGTCATCGCCCCTGCCGATGCCCTCACGCTAGAGCTGGACGGAGGGTACATGGGGCTACAGATGTGAGCGGCTGCGGCTGCGCGGCCCCGGAGCGGTGCCGCTGTGCTTTAGTTTCACCTTTAGCTTGTCCCGACCGAGCAGAGGGAGGGGCTTTTTGGCCTCATCTCCGGCAAACTCTGTGCGACCAACAGACGATGACGATGCAACAGCTCACCGTGTGTACCCGTCTATCTATATCTAACCGTAGTTACATACATTTCAAACTTTTTTCAACAAACCGGATGGAACTCATGCAAACTTGGCCGGATTTCATATCAACATGACGGATTTAATGCAAACTAGACAAAGACGGTTACATTTTGGACATACTTTCAACTAAAAACAAAACGAGACTAGTTTAGGTCCGGCGGCGGCGGCGGATATCCATTCCGATGATATGATACCCTCGACTAGCCTACTGGCGGCCGTGGCGGGTCTCTAACATCGTCCCCATGACTGGCTGTGGTGAGCCCCGGATGTATATGCTTCAGCGTAAAGGAGGGCTCGCTTCCCCATCGCTCATAGGAGTGGAACCGCCGCCGGATACTTCAGCCGGAGGGGAAGGGTCCCTACGCTGCACTGACCAAAGTTGGTTCTTGGGTAAAAGGACGACGGTGGCCGACGAGAGGGCAAGACACCGGCTGTGTACACCGGCGGTGCCTCGACGGTGGCCTTCATGGGATCCAAGCGGCGGCGGCCTCCTGCGTTCTGCTTCTCCTTGTTGATGGCGGCAGGCGCAGCTGTGCGGGCCACCACCTCGTCAACATCTATGTAGTCGGCTTCTTTCTCTGCTTGCATGGTGTGGCTATGCGCACGTAAAGGACGGATGGCGTGGTCGCAGGCACTGACGCGGTACGGCGCAGCGTCATCGACGGTGCTCGTGCTGCAATGCTCCCCGCCGTGCCGGCCTGGAGCAACTCGCCACTCCTCCATGAGCTAGCGAGTTGCTGAACCATGTGTCGGCTTGGGGCTGCAACTTGCTCCGTCAGGCTAGGCGAGGGAGGTGGAGCGGCGAGTTGCTGAACCATGTGCCGGCTTGGGGCTGCAACTTGCTCTATCAGGCTAGGCAAGGGACGTGGAGCAGCGAGCTTCCTCGCTTGTATCTGCCGGACTCGGCAGGCCACCTAGCTGGAGAACTGCTCTTCCTGTTTGTCGGATGCTATCATAAGAGTGGGGAAAATGGTGGAAGGAGGAGATGTGGAGCGGCGGAGTGGTGCAATTCTTGCCTGGTCTCTGACCTCGTTTAAATTGAGGGAGCACGGGACGAGCTTTCCTGGCATTGTATTTAATGTTGGCCCGCTCGTGAAAAGACATGTGGCCAGAGTAGTTTTTTCGGCTTCTACGCGGGGTTTAATGAAGGTGTTTGAATGCATCGAGGATGCGTGTTCAGTCAGGCGTTAGAATCAGACATACCTTCGAACTGAAAAATTATTCTACCAGTAAATTGTAGATTTTGTGTCGAAACT